TTTTCTCTTTTCTCTTTTCTCTTTTCTCTTTTCTCTTTTCTCTTTTCTCTTTTCTCTTTTCTCTTATTTTTTTCTCTTTTCTCTTGTCTCTTCTCTCTTTTCTCCTCCTGTAGGTAGGCAGATGATTCAGAAATATTTCACTGTCCTCCAGCAGCAAAAACAGTCAGTGGGAATCTCGTCTGCAGTGGACAGAGCTGGACCCTTTCCCTGGTGAGGCAGGAGACAGTTTGAAGAAGGCAGAGCCCTTCTGGATGAGTAGAAATGGCAGAGCTCAAGTTGTGAAGTTCAGCTGGGTGATGGAATGATTGGGGACAGGTCTGCGTTACAGCCCTACGAGTCCCCTGGCTTGTTCCCTGTCTCTTCACCTCACATGAAGGCTCAGCTGAGGTAGGGGTTGGTGTTTGTGATGGATTCTCTTTGTCCATTTGCTGGGAGCACAGATATCTTCAGCCCTGGAGAAGTGATGAGAGGCCACACACACTCTGGAGAGCCTGCACCAGCCAGGCTGGTGCCAAAACCATCTTGGGGAACACGTGGGCTGGGTGTGAAGGCAGAACAGACGGCTGCCAGGGCTGTGTTTAAAAACATGGGACAAGGGGGTGCAGGAGGAGTCCATAATTTTGAGATCATGCACTCAGTGCAGATTCACCCCCTGTGACAGTGCCCTGGACCTTCCTCCTGACAGCCCCTGGATGGAGAGCAGCACAAGCAGCATCAGCAGGAATTTGGGAGCCATAACCTGAGCACAATCACACAGAGTTATCATCTGTGGGGAAAATAACCCTGCCCAAAGGGATYGGGATGAGTCAGCCTAAGGATGCTGCAATTGAATAAAAATACCTGAGCTTTCCTGCAGTTCAGCTAATCCACATTAACAGTTCACTCGGATTTACTTCCCCGGGACAACAAGAGCACAAGTTCRTGGGATTTTAGGGCAAAAATACACCAGGTAGTTTTTTTAACAAAAGATGATTTAAGTGGAATCTGCTGGCCACCTTTCTCCTCTCCTCCACTCAGACTGACCTTCACCCAATTTARCTTTAGAGAGGAATTTATTTGGCGAGTGAATATGCAGCAGGTTGCTCTTCCCTGGGCAGATCACAGTCTCCACACATGCAGCAGGCCGAGGTCAGCACAGGTAGCTGAATTTTCATTAGGAAGAGATCTTTTTTATCATGGTTTACAGTTGTGGACACAAAAATCAGGAAGGATATCAGGCTACCTTTATCGAGCCTTCCTTTGAGCAGGTGACATCATCCTATTGATGAAGGTCAGGCTGGCCTCAGCTCCTTTCTGACTCATTGAATATTTGCCATGGCTGCRGGCGGGGGAAGGCGGTGATCTGATGTGACAGGGCAGGAGGGAGCACACCAGCAGCACAGCAGGACACAGGCTGCAGGAACGGGCCGTGCCCTGATCCATTGTGACAAGGGGAGAGCTGTGGATGGATGGTCCAACGGCCTCAAGTGACCCAGCAAGGGCAGGATGGAGAGAGACAAAAAAAAAACCCCTTTGGTTCGTGTCCATTCCCACTTCAACAGGGAAAATCCGAGGTGATCTTCCTTAGCTGGTGATGGGATCTCAGATTTATTGTGAGAGATTTTGTGACATCAAGAACCAGGTCCCTTCTTTAAAGATCATCCAGTTCCACCCCTGCCATGGGCAGGGACAATTTCCACTACCCCAGGCTGCTCCAAGCCCTGTCCAGCCTGCCCTTGGACACTTCCAGGGATCCAGGGACAGCTCAGCTTCTCTGGGCATCCTGTGCCAGAGCCTCCCCACCCTTACAGGAGAGCATTTCTTCTGACATCTCATCTAAACCTGCCTTATTTCAGTATAAAGCCATGAATTCTCTGCCTTAAGACACAGAATCGAGGCTGGATCCAGGATGTGGCTCCATCAGAGCAGGGCAGAAGCAGCAGCAGCAGCAGAAATTCTGCTCTGCAGATCTGTGGCTGTGGAAATGTGAGGCAGAAGCAGGAGCTGGTGATATCCATCACTTGACATTGCTGTTTGGCTAACCTGTGACTTGGTTTAGATAGAACACTCATTTAAAGACACCAGCTTTGCTCCCAGGTGTTTTTCCCTACCCTTTCCTCCAAAGGGCTGTTTCTCATGCATTCAGCATCCAAGTATTTTGAGAAATGGGCTCTCTGTTTCTCCAGGCTYGGGAAGGCAGGGACAGCTGGCAGCTGTTTCCTTCCAGCCCTCTTCCTTTCCCATCCTGTGAAATTTCCTGCCAGCTGTGGTCACCTGTTTGATTTSTCTTTAAGTGGCTGCCTTCCTCCACAAATTAATTTTGATTATTGTCTTGCCTGGCAGGGAGGGAACTCTTAGTGGTGTGAGCTTGAAGCATTCACTCTCTTTACATATTTCTCTTTTTCCCCTGCACCGAGTCTAATTTTGTGGTTCTCTGCCTTCCCCAAAAATAAACCTCAGACCCAATTTTGAGCTGTCATCTTCATTACATCACAGCAGCCTGCAGACGGGGCTTATCACTTGCAATCCACTCAGTTACACTTGTGATTAAAACTGATTGCAAATGTGATCCTGGGAATTGGGAACGTCTTTATAATTTCTGACAGCAGATCGTGAGGCCCTGGATAAGCCTGGTAGGAAAAGATCTTTGCAGGCCAGTGGGAGGGGGAGAAGAGAGAAAGTGAGAAAGAGAGAGGAGATGGTGATGTGGGATAAAAATATAGAGAAGGCCCAGGTTAGAAACCCCCAAGGTGAAATTGGGAATGGCAGGGGGTGAAAATAAAGCTCAGCTCCTTGGGCTGCCAGGACCATCCCCAGGGACAGGTGTAGCAGAGAAAAGCAAACCCCTGCCCAAAGCTTCACTCAATTTTCGGCATCAGTAACTCATGGAATGGGTGTAAATGTTCCTGGGAAAACAAAAAAAACTGTTGTGCTCCTTCCCAACAGCAGCAGCAGCAGCACATCTTGGTCTCAGGACTCCCCTGCACTTCTGGATCTGCTGCTGCTCCATCCTATAACCTCTGTGTCCTGGAGCCATTTATCCCCTGCTGGCTCAGAGCAGGGCTGCAAAATTAAACTTTGCAGAGTGATGGAGCCTGAAATGTGCTCRGAGGGTTTGCACCTTGCTCCAGACCTGGAAGGTTTTCTGAACTGCACTATCTTCCTGCTGGCCTGAACTTTGGCTGGATTTCAGAGATTTAAATACTTATAATTAACTATGGACTATTCATTGTATAATAAATGTAATATTATATAATAAATATATTTTTTAAATGTAAAAATTAAAATTTAGTAAAACATTATAAATATTACACATCTTTATATCATAGCCCACTTGTTTTTCCCTACCTGCTCTTGTTGGGGGTCCAGTGCTTTGTGTTGAACTAAAGTTTGATTTACAGAGTTTGCTCTGAAAAGACTGAAAATCCACCAGACTCCTTGGGAGCTTGTTCCAGCATGTTCAATCTGATTCAGCTCAGCCTTTATTTCCTCCATCCTAACTTGAGCTGTCCTTTTCTTCATTCCCTCTCTGAACCTCTCCCATGGATTCACCAAACATCTCGATGAGGAGATGCCTCCCCAGTGCCATTCCAGAGCTGAACAGGGTATAAATTTGACACTTCTGCTCATAGTTTATCCTCCAGACCTCTTGAGTTATTTCTGCTGCTCTTTTCTGATGTGTCCCAAGCACTGGATGCTCCCTTGCAGGCACAGACATCAGAGTCGGGGATTTCTGAGGGATTTAGGGCATTGCTCGAAGAATTCTTTTCAAATCATTGAGTTGTTGTGGCTCTCTTGGAGTTGCTGCCTTCCAGCACAGGCTCTCCTCCTCCTGCCCCTGCTCCAAGACATTTTTTTGTTTATCAAAACAAATCTTTGCAGAGAATCTATGCCCTGGGATCATCTAACTCAAAGCACGGAGCTGATGTGCCTCTGCCAGGAGCCCGGTCACAAAAATTGTCCTGTAGGCATCAGAGACACCCAAAATAATCAGTTTTTCTGAATCAGCAGCCTCTCAAGATGTTGAGATTCCTGTAAGTATCCAAGGCCAGGTTGGACAAGGTTTGGAGCACCCTGGGACAGTGGGAGGTGTCCCTGCCATGGCAGGGGTGAAATGAGATGGGATTTAAGGTCCCTTCCAACCCAAACCATTCCAGGATTCTGTGCTGGTGAGGAACAGGAGCTGAGCTGAGCTGAGCTGAGCTGAGCTGAGCTGAGCTGAGCCAGCCCGGGTCTGTGTCCAGCTGATCAAAGGCATTTTGCTGATGCTCCTATAGAGCTCGTTTGCGATGCCTAATTAGTATTCAGATTAATTTGCATACCCAAGGTGCACCACGGACCGGGGGCACATTTCTGGTCAGAATTCCCACCTCTTCCTTTGGGATACTGAGGGGGGGACAGGGGGCTGGGATGTGTCACTCTCGAGGGACCGGGCTGGGGACACCGCAGGGTCAAATGAGGAATAAATGATATCACCACGTCCTAGAAAGGGACAGCTGTGTGAAGCACTGTGTGTGGCGGTCATTGTTGCCATTCTCATGTTTCTCTTCAGAACGAAAAAATCTTTCGCCTTTTACTAAAGATTTCCGTGGAGAGGAACAGCCATGAGACTTAAATAATTTTTTGTGGCTCCACCTAGGTGGAGCCGCTCCTGTTGTGGTTGAAAAGCAGAGTTGAGTAGAAGATGGTAGTAAATGAAAACTGCTCTTGGAATTGGTAGTAGCAGCTTGAGATGATGCTCAGTTTCAGAGCAGAATATTGAAGTTTTTTTACTCAGTCTATGGGGTTCTCGACATTTGATCTCGAGTGGTTCCAGAGGAGGCCACAAAGATGCTCTGGGAGCTGGAGCCCCCCTGCTCTGGAGCCAGGCTGGGAAAGCTGGAGGGGTTCACCTGGAGAAAAAAAAGCTCCAGAGAGAGCTCAGGGCCTGAAGGGGGCTGATATAAAAGGTGTGTGGCATTTTACCCTAGCAGATAATGACAGGACAAGGGGGAATGGTTTTAAACCAGAAGGGGAGACTTAGATTAGATTTTAAGGAGAAATTCTTTGCTCAGGGAGTGGGGAAGCTCTGGCACAGGATGCCCAGAGAAGCTGTGGATGCCCCTGGATCCCTGGAAATGTCCAAGGCCAGGGTGGACATTGGGGTTTGGAGCACTCTGGGGCAGTGGAAGGTGTCCCTGCTCATGGCAGGGGTGACACTGGATGATCTTTAAGGAAGGGACCCAGTTCATGATGTCCACTCTTTGGGACCATTTTCACCATKATTAATTTTTCAAGTTAGAAGAGCAAATCTTTAGACCATTCATGCCCCTCTCCTTCAATAAACAAGTTTCCTGCCTTTATTTTTTGCCTGCCTTCATTTCCCCTGCTTTTCAAATAAGCAAAATTTTTTGTTTGCCCGAGTGAGACGCAGAATGATGAGTTTTCCTTCCCAGAAAACCCCTCCATCTCTGGGTGAATTATTCATCTGTCTGAGAGCGCAAGGAAATGTTTTCATTTGTTCAGAACAGCCCAGAGTCCGGCCCTGCCGCATTAATTGGGACACTATGCAGAACCCTGAATTTATTTGGAATTATAAAGTGAATTGTCCCAAGTGGGAAGTATCCAGGGCACAGCACAAGATTCCTGACTCTCAGGGTCCTGGCTCGGAGTGTTTGGCTGCCAACAAATCATCGTTGGCTTCTTGGCAGCGCTGCAAACACCACAGAAATCCGATCTTTCCCTTTACCTCCTACCCTGTGAGTCCCTCCCGTCATCATCCCTCAATCATATGCCACAGACACAATTTGGATGTGTTTGAGGCTGTGGTTGTGGCCACCTCGCTGTTCTGGAGGCTGTAAAATCACCTGGAAGAGCTGCGTGGACATCCCTGGTGGGTGGGGATGGCTGGAGGAAAAAAAACATGCCTGGGTTTTCAGGCTGTTGGAAAAGAAAATAAACCGCGTCGTGTTGGGTCTGTGGGAGGGGATGATTGTTCTCTGCAAAGGCAGAGTTTGGAGAGAGAGAGAGAACATTCCCACATCTGCTGTGGGACCTGAAAACAGTCCCTCTATGGCAGAGGCAGAGCCACTCGTCCCTCATAAGAGTGGGATGAGGTGGAACAAAAAACGAGGGCGATTTGCATCATCAGGCTCACATTTTCCTTACAGCTTTTTGTGGTTTAGGCTCCCAAACCCAGCCTGGSTACCCAAAACAGAGCTGTGCTTTCAAACAGCACCAAAATTCAGATCCCCCCAAAGGATGCCTGGGATGCCCAGGGTCGGTGCCCCAGCCAGAATTAAAATGCAACCTGCAATCAAGAGGCTGCAGCTTTGAAGGTCACCCTGMCTCCGAGTAAATAAATAAATAGTAAACAAGAAAGCAGGCAGCAATGAATAAACCAGAGACATTCCACTGGCTTGGACTTGATTTTTTTTCTCTTTTCTCTTTTCTTTTTATTTCTTCTCTGCTCTCTTCACTTTCACATCCCCCGAGGTCTGTGCTAATAGGAGACCYTTCTTATTGCTCATGCAGCACCCTCTCCTGCCTCAGAGACCCCAAGACCGATGCAGAGCCCAAGCTGGGAGCACAAATAGTGTCATCTCCACATCTGATGGCTGAAATGAGACCTTCTGTCAGCACCAGGCTGTGGCAGGTGGGAGGATGTGTTGCAAACACGGGATTTGCCTCTCAGACCACAATCTTTGCCTCTCAGACCACAATCTTTGCCTCTCAGACCACAATCCTTCCTGCTGGAAGGGAAATCGTGGTGCCAGGTGTTGCTTTTTCATGCTCCTCCCTGCCTTGCCTAATGAGATCCTGGCTCTGCAAACTCCAAGTTGACTTTTTCCAGCAGTTCTTCCAGCCTGGCCACATGGCCAGGGTAGAGAGAGTCTGAAATCACGTGGGGAGCTGCACCAAAGCTGATTCTGATTGTGTTTGTGCCGTTCTGGACCCATCTGCTGCATCTGAAGGGCTGCTCACAGGAGATGGGGATGTGCTTCTGCTCTTTCTTCTTGAGCAGAGAGGCTCACAGCCTCGAGAGGATTGTGCCTCACCTCTCACAGTGCCTGGGCTCTTGGGAATCCATCCAGTGGCTCTCTGCAGGCAGCAATCCAGGCTAGCCGACAGTGTCACCAAAACTGCAGGAAAAACAAAAACTCTCCAACAAAAACTCTTCAACAACATTTTTAATGTTAGATGGTCAAGGCATTCCTTTATTTTCTGGCCAGGATGTGCCACAGAAATCATCTYRTCCACTCATWGCCCAGGTGTGAAKAGAAAATCATTCCATGACACACATGAATTTTACAAGATTTCCCCCAAAACTTTATACAGTCAAACCCCAGAGAACTTTATTGGTYTAATTGTTCCARCGTTGTGCAGTTCTTGGTGTTTGGTTTGTTATTGGATCTGGATTTCTTCRCCTCTGATGCTGATCAGGTTCTCATTCTTATCTCTCTTTTCCCAGCCCTGGTGCCTCTGACCATGCCAGGGTGAGGTTTGGAGCTGATGTTCCATTAATGACTCTTGATGGTCACTGATGGTCACTGATGGCCCTTATATTTTGTGCTTCTACCAGTTTATTGAGATGTTAACCTCATCAGGCCTCACCTGGTGGAACAATGCCCTGCAAAGAAACTTTTAGCACCTTCCCTGGGGCAAATGCAAACAAAATCTTTGACTAAAGTTACATCCATATTCTTTTAACTGGTATATTCTCCAACAACAGGACAATCTCCACAGAAGGTGGAAACTGGCTGGCAGGAGACCAGGCGATCTTTTCCTGATTTCCTCACTTTTGACTCTTCCCCAATTAACATGATAATTGTTACCCTGTGGGCCAGACATGATTAATCAGCAATTTTCTTCTTCCTTCCTCATTTTTTTTTTAAGAGCAGCTGGGAAACGTCATTCTCTCCTTCAACAGAGTTTGAAAACTCCTCCATCTGGACAATCAAATTCTTGATGTAAATAGAAGGGAAGGAGAGACCAGAAGAATGGGATTCTCAGAGAGCCCCTCCATGTTCCCCCAGTCCCTGCCTGAGGTGACTTTTTCTCCCTTTCCTCATTGTCCTGGCCTTTAGGAGCAGAGCCAGCCACTCTGCTGAAGGGGAGCTGAATCAGTGACTGTAAATGAAAATTAACATCCAGCAGCAAGGAGTGCAAAGCTATGATTAATAACTTTTTAATGCTCCTCTGCTCCACACTCAGAGTGCTTTGTTTTAATGGTGCATGTGGGGCATGGAGAGAGAAAAGTGTGTGGATGTGAGAATAGGGAGCTGCACACACAGCCCAGGAATTCTCAGCATTAAGGAGAGAGGATCCAGCTCTCTTCAGCTTCAAATGGCACAGAAAAGCCTCATTTCTACCTCATCCCATCGAGTGCATCACAACTGAAAACAGCACAGAGCAAAGTCATTAAAATAAAYGTCCTCTAACCAGCACTTACCCAGATAATTGTTTTTCTGCTTTGGGTTTAATTATAACGTGGACCAATGGATTAATTGAGTGAGTTTCTATAACCTCCTCCACCCTTGCCCTAAGGAAGGTTCCAGCCAGTCTTACTGAATGATAATTATTTCTCTTTCAGCCTGGTGAAGAGTTATGGCTTCTTCAGGGCCACGTGCATGCGTAGCATTTCCAGCTGTTCATCATTCCAAATATTGACATGTGCCAATAATTATCCACATCACTTGGCTGCAGGAACACTTGGAAAGGCCATGCAGGCAGGCAGCAATCATTCTTAAACAACACTCTTTTTTTGTTTTGTTTTGTTTTTTTTTTTTAATTAAAAATTGCCTCCTATAAACATTTCCAGATAACTTCTATCCAAAAACACGATCACTCCACGTTGAAGTTATCCAGGGTGACTGCAGCCAGCATCTGATGAAATGTTGTGATTTGCCGCAGAGATGATCAAGGTCACACAGGATGAAACTGTGATCAAGTGAGATGGTTATTAGTGAGATAGTTATTAGTAAGTGAGATAGTTATTAGTAARTGAGATAGTTATTAGTAAGTGAGATATTTGTTAACGATCCCCTCAGCTCTCGGAATAGCTGCTCCACCTGCTGTTCTGTGCCTGCAGAGGAGACCTTTCCCCCTGATCCAGTCTAGATTACTTCATGGTAAAAAGAAACAGCTGCTTCAGGCATTGTCTGGAAGAACTGAGATTATTGGTTCCCTTGAGGCAGTTTTTCCCCCTTGTAGGAAAGGGCTGGGTGACAAGATCAGATGGTGATGTCCACCTGTGACTCCTGCAGCTGGTGAGATGAGCTCCATCCTTTCACTCATGCTCATCCTTCCACCTTTGCCTTTGGGAATTTGGTTAAAAACATTTCTGCTCACCAGTGCATTGCAAAAGGTCTCTGATAATCCAGGTSCCTGCATTTTCCAACAAATGAATTCCTGCTGAAGGAATAATCTGCACCAAAGAGCRGACTGTTAGAAAGAGAGCAGCAATACAACAGCATCACATTTGGCAAGTGGCTCCTTCAGGAAACCAAAACGTTTTCAATTTTACAGCTCCCCACTGCATTGACCCTGCTGAGGTTTCTTTTTTTTTTATTTTGCAGGAGCAATTACAGGGAGATTTATACCCGGGAATATTGCTTGGCACAAATTGAATGGTGGGTATAATTATGTATAAAAGCTCTCTTGTTGC